TTAAACTGCAGATCATCAGAGAATAATTGCTTTACTGAAAAGGGACCTTGGACAGGATGTGAACAGAGACTGTTCTGCCCCAGACAGTGTCAAAAATCACCTCCTGGATCCCATTTCCTTCTAGTATTATGCAGAGCAAGACTTGGCCAGCTGCTCAGATTTGTCTTAAAAAATGTTTTATCATTCTTGGGCTGGAGAAATGGTTTCATGTATAAAGCACTTGCTGTGCTCACATAAAGCAGAGCACAGTCACAGATGCATGCAGTCATACCACTCCCACAACAAGAAAGGAGACAAAGAGGAAAATCCCCAGAAACTCACAGCCATTGAGCCAGAGATACACAGCAGTGACTGATAACACACCAGTGACAAAGGTACTGTCTCAAAGTCAACAATAGGACAAAAGATTCAAAATAGGACAGGTACCCAAGATTGTCCGCTGACTGCTCCTCAATGTGACACACGTGCACCCACTCAAACACACATATCCACACACATATGCATGCATACACATCATATACACACGCAATCACTCTTCTCTTGGGCCTTCAGATACCTGATGAAGAACTAACCACAGTAAAAAACTTAACACTCTGCCTTTGGTATGTACCTGCTCCCTTTACCTTAAACTGTGGTTCAATTCCTCTTGGTCTCTACCTGAAGGATAGGTAAGCATTCAAGTGTTTATCTGAAGTGGCCAATCCTCCTGCTTCAAGGTTGAAGCCATAGACATGACTAAGGTCTTTTCAAGCTCACAGGTTCTGTTATAGAGCCTCTACAGTGACCCTGGAAGCCTCTAGTTATTATCCTAAATAAACCACCAGGAACAGCAGTTCTCTACAGACAGCTCACTCTATGAAGAGTATACCCCTAAACAAGAGTGGCCACATCATGGCAGCCAAAGTACCCCATCCAGAATCCCAGGAGATCGCCCCTGAGCAGTTTAGCAACTTCTTGAACAAAAAAAAAAAATGAAGTCAATTTTCATCCCCTACCCTCAGGAACCAGAAATTTCCTCAACACTGATAAGTAACACAGTGATGTTAAAACCCCTCAAGCCCGCCTTTGTTTTTCTCACCTGTAAAAAAAAAAAAACCTCAAAACTGTCAACCCAAAGAAAGCTCCTGGATCTCTGTCAGACTGGCTACAGTAATATTAAAATACCTTTCCTTGTCATACTGTTAACTTCTATACCTACACTTCTTTTAAGACAAGTGATCAAAACTAATCAGTTGAAACCCCAAGTATCAAGCTTTTCTTCTTGGCCCCTGGCAACATCTGAATGGAATTTAGGAGCATATATTATTTAGTACTAAGTGTGATGGCAAAAGAAACTCCATTTTATACTAGGAATCCATCTTGGTACCCACTAGCCACTTGTCTCTCACTCCAGTCCCCGAAAAGGTAAGTTCCCAGGAACCCTGACTCAGTGAACCCCCAACCCAGAAACTTACAGTTGTGACCATATTATTTGTTATGATATGACTAACTGCTTTTGGGAAGATTGTAACTTCCTTATGTGAATACCTAAATATTGTTTTGAGTCACCTTAACCTCTTAATTTGGCAGAAGAAACCAATTTTTGCTTGCATGCATAGATATTAATGACCTTGCAGTTTTTACATTTAAAAAAATTCTTACCCCCTCCTTCACAGCATGCCTGAGATTCAACTTTATAGTTATTGTCCTTCTAGCAGCTAATTGTTAAATCTTTCAATTATACTTGGATTGAGTCTATGGTCTTTTTCCAGGGGTCACAAACTCCACAACATTTGAGTGCCCCAGCAAGATCCTTAGGAGACACTAGACTTAAGGCCTTGAGTTTGGGAGAGGCCCTGGTAGACTTATATGTCCTGAAGCCCAGACTACAAGGCTACCACAAATTAAAGGCTGCTAATAGGGGATAGGCCCCAGAGGGAGCAAGTCAAAGGTGGGCTTAATAGGCCCAGGGAACCTAGATTTCAATTACTCTACATTTGCAAATTGAAAGAAAAACAAAAGTAAAATTTTCCAGGTAACATGATTCTGAAGCTCTGACATATAAGTGAATTAATTGTTCTGTTCTTTTTTGGAGTCCAGACATTTGGAGAGAGAAAGGTGAGATTGGAAACAATCATAAGCCCAGTTTCCATTACAGAGGTCATTCCCTCCTGTTCTGGTTTTGGTATGTGAATGACGGTGTCTACCACATGATAGAGTTTATTTGGTCTCTCTGATTCCATTGTCGTATTGTCTTTTCATGCTGTTGTCTTTTCTGTTATACTTATGTTTTCAAGTTTGTTGCAGAGATGACAGACTGAACACAGCCCAATCACCTCTGAGCTGTATGCTACATTTTCAGAATTTCCAAAAGGCAGACTGCTCTTGATTGCCTCCAGTCTAGCTCTGCCCATTGAGTTTCTCTCTCTCTCTCTCTCTCTCTCTCTCTCTCTCTCTCTCACACACACACACACACACACACACACACACACACACACACACTGGCTTGCTGCAGTCTACTCCCTATGCCCACTTGTTTGCAATAATTTTCCCTGGCTTTGCTTCTGAAGAATGTCTTTTCCCTGCTTCCTCTATCTCCTAGCTGGCTCCTCTCTCTGACCATGGAGCTCTGGCTGTTGCCAATTCCCATGCCACCAGACTGTGACAATGTGGGTGTCCCCAGAACACAGTCCTAGAGTGTACCATAGGCCCCCTTTTCCATCACCTACTGCTCTCTGCATTTACAGCTGTCCTGTGCCCAGAATGTTTTATCTCTAAACCTTCTTTGTTCTCTGCTCTCTCTGGTCTCAAGACCTTGCTGATCACTAGATTCAGTTTTGCAAGGATTCATGTTTCTTTCCAGTATGGATAATATTGAAATATTGTTTTACACTGATCTATGATATTAAAAAGCTTGTTCTGGAGTTATGTAATACCTAACCTCTCACAGTCCAAAGGTGTTTGCTTAAAAGTTTCCTCCAATATCTCTGTCCTAAGTCAGAAGGCCATCTGACTCTAGAGCAAAAATAAAAACAAAACAGCCCAAGAGAAAACTCGGGGTTGCATGCACAGAGAAGCTTCTTTGAGCTGCCGAGGCACTAACAATGGACACTCAGAAAGACGTTCAGCCCCCAAAGCAGCAGGCGATGAGAAATATTTGTGGAGAGTGTCACAC